GCCTCCTGGGCACACTGCTGGCTCATATTCAACAGCTGTTGACCAACAACCCCAGGTCCTTTCCTGCTGGGCAGCTTTCCAGCCACTCTTCCCCAAGCCTGTAGTGTTGCATGGGGTTGTTGTGATCCAAGTGCAGGACGCGGCACTGAGCCTTGTTGGACCTCATACAATTTGCCTTGGCCCATTGATCCAGCCTGTCCAGATCCATCTGTAAAGCCTTCCTGCCCTCGAGCAGATCAACTCTCCCACATAACTTGGTGTCACCTGCAAACTTACTGAGGGTGCACTCCATCTCCTCATCCAGATCGTTGATGAAGATATGAAAGAGAACTGGCCCCAGTACTGAGTGCTGGGGAACACCACTTGTGACTGGCCGGCAACTGGATGTAACTCTATTCACCACAACTCTTTGGGCCCAGCCATCCAGCCAGTTTTTTACCCAGCTAAGAGCACACCCATCCAAGCCATGAGCAGCCAGTTGCTCCAGGAGAATGCTGTGGTAAAGTGTCAAAGGCTTTACTAAAGTCCAGGTGGACAACATCCACAGCCTTTCCTTCATCCACTAAGCAGATCACCTTGTCATAGGACATCAGCTTAGTCAAGCAGGACCTGCCTTTCATAAACCCGAGCTGACTGGGTCTGATCACCTGGTTGTCCAGTACATGCCACGTGATGGCATTCAAGATGATCTGCTCTATAACCTTCCCCAGCACTGAGGTCAGACTGACAGGCCTGTAGTTCCCTAGATCCTACTTCTGGCCCTTCTTGTAGATAAGCATCACATTTGCTAAACTGGGACCTCCCTGGTTAGCCAGGACTGCTGATAAATGATGGAAAGTGGCTTGGTGAGCACTTCTGCCAGCTTCCTCTCTACCCTTGGGTATATCTTTGAAATGCTCTTTTTCTGACATTGAAATTATGCCTTTTGTCAGCCCATGATTCAGAGCAGCCTCACAAGCATTTACTGAAATATCAGTAATAGTAAGATTTGAGCCCAAGTAGCTGCCCACCAAGTGCTACACTACCTATGGATTGACTGCACTACTTAGGGGTTTTATTTGGGATTTGGATTGCCACATACAATTGCAAGTAAAATTCACATTATTTCCAAGGAGAGTGGTTCAGAGCGAACACTCCTTTCTCTCCAGTAAATGTTACCGTATGTCCCATGCTAACCATAAGCTGCTCTCCAGGTTCCCTCTTTTGTAGCTCTAAACCAGTCTCCACCACTACTCTGAAAAGTCATTTTGTGGTTCAGCCAAATGGAGCCACAGTCACACACAGATCTCCTGGCATCAGCCCAGGCTCAGGTGGCTGTCTCCTCCCCTACTCTGGCCACTCTTCCTCCCTCCTGCACCATTCCTCTGACTGTGGGGTTACATGGTGGACAGGATTGAGGAGGACCATCTAGAGAGAGGAATGGCCACACACCACATCCTGAGTCTGTCAAGTCTTGGTAACCACCCAGTGTCTCCAAACCCAGTGCTTAACCTTCAGCAGGCAGAGGGATAAGCAATTAATTTTATGGCCTTTACCTTGAGATAATAAAAAATTATAACTCCTATGCCCAGTGTTAAAGGAGACAGAGATGGCCCAAAATGAGCTTATGCACGTCCTTTTGCCAGAGTAGGACTCCCAGAGCTTCTGAAGGATGTTCCAGCATTTCGTTTTCATTCACACACATATAATAGATTTTGCCCATACTGGGAAAACTACTATTTTCCATTTCGACCACAGCAAACAAGGCAATAAAAACATTAGGATTTTCTTTTTTTTTTTTCCTCTTTTTTTTCCCCCTCCATTTCCAGAGCTTTTTAGGTATTATAAAGTTGCCTCTGCTGAATAAGCCAGTAGGTCAGAAAGGCTTTTCTACAAGTGCATTGTTTGTTTGCTTGTTTTTTAATTAAGTCTGAAATTGATCATCACTCCTTTCATCTCTCTCCATGAGACTACATCAGGATTTCTTTTGTTTGCTACTGGTACCATTGGATGAAGGTACCGCATAGTAGATCCTCTGTAAGTAAATCTGTCATTAGCTTTTCAACTGATCATAGATTTTCTAGGGACTCTGTCAAGCTTGTTTGACTCCATTCCTTGATGAGTGATACATCAGTGGCTGCAGGAACCTAACAAAATGTTCACTGTGTCCTCAGTGCATTGTCCAAGGTGGTTTTCAAGAGCCTGACTGTCCTATGTTGTATCCCTGATAATATGGGTTGATCTGCTACTATAAGGCTGTGTTGTTTGTGCCTGTTTTTTCAACACAAGCTGCAGCTGGTGCCCTTCTTCCACCTCTTTCTTCATCAGCCATCGCAATGGTGTTTTCATAAACCTCCATAGTTTTTAGCTGCTTGTCTTTGGCACCCTCCTGTTCTGCATTGACTTTGCAGCACTTGCAGAAGCCGCAGCAGTGTTTCCCACAAAAGGCGAGCGAAGACATAATCATATTGTCCCAGGGCTCTAGGGAGTGCATCCAGATGGGTAGGAAATCCCAATTTTGGAGCTTCTCAGGCAGTGAATGTGGTCGCTTCTTCTGCATAACATTAATTACAATCACGGCAATAAAAAGAGCAAACAGGGGAAGGCAAACACCCAAAAGAACTGGCCAGCCTGCCAGTGACAGACCAAATACAAACAAAGGCAAAAGAAAGAAGCAGACGAGAAGATAAAATATAGCAAACCATCTGTACTTGGCTGTTATGTTTCCCAAGGTCTTGCACATGCGGATTGGCAGTCGGGTAAAAGGTAGCGGGTAAAACAGAATAATCCCAGAGACATTGAAGAAAAAGTGGCACAAGGCAATCTGAAAGCAAAACCATTTGAGAAGTGCATTAACTAAAATGCCTTTAAATGCTCCTATTCACATGATAACAACTTCCAGTGGCACTAAGACTCCATAGTTTCCCTTCCCCTGCTTCCTGCTGTTTTTTCTTGTCTTTCATGCTATTTCACTGCAGGGCTTTTCCTAGCACGAAGCAACAGGTAATACCTCACACATTGTGAAGATCACTTCCTACAAACAGGGGACAGCATTTGGAAACAAGGCAAGCCTAGAGGGGAAGACATATCTCTCTGCAGATGGAGAAGTCTTAATATGCAGCTTTCAAATGCAAGAAATGAAGTCCATCAGAATAAAGTTGACAAACCAAACAGCTATTGGGAAACAGTCCTGTTGTTAGTAAGGCACGAGAACTACATGAGAACTGTTCATTATTTGGTTCTGCATCCATAAGGTTTCAATTAAAAGATGGGAAGCGTAAATCAGATATGGCATGCAGGCTACTGAGAAATTGCTAATGGTACAAACCTGATTTTCCAAAAATTAGCTAAAAGTTCACAGGGCCCTGAGGAGATTCTTTGTCTGAGTCTTTTAGAATCATTTCATTCACATACTTCAAAACTCTTTTTTAAAAAATAAGCATGAAGAGACATCTAATTGCTAAAGCTTGCAGAAGTTGCTTAGACAGAATAAGCATATACTGAACAACACAGTACATTCCCTGCTCACCTTATCTTATTTTCATTCTACAACTGTTATCAAACTAAAGTAAATATGAAAGTACAGGGGTTTATTTTTAAAGTAAGTTATAAAACTAGTAAGTTATCATGAAATCTGAGCTTGGTCAAGATAGTATCTTCTCATGATTACATCTGTTCTATCATGCCTGAGGACAATAAAATGACTTCTGTAATTTTCCTGATTTATTGCGGCTAGTAAAAAACATTCATCCTTTTCACAAAGGAAACTTTATTATCTTTTCACTCTTTGATGTAGAGGGTTCATTCAAATGTTATCTGCTTCCTGGAATGTTCTTTACTGGGTAGTAAAAGGGAGCCCAAAGCCAGGCTACCTACTTTTCAAATAGTCTGAGGCAACAAGGAATTCAATAAAACCCACTCAGATTAGATTTACAATGAGAAAATAGATGCCACAATGCTCACTGCAACCTCAGGTAGGTACATAGTTTGCCATCTTATGGGTTGTGCAGCCTTCACTTATGTTACAGGAGTCCCCATACCCTGCACAAACAGAGTTAGGGTCCTGAGGAAGGAACTTACAGAAATTAGTGGCCAGCCCTCAGTACTGAATTAATTCAATCAGATCAAGGCCAATTTATGAAAGCAAGATTTTACTATATAATGACATTCTGAGAATGCTTATTAAAATCTTTTTGCTCTAGTGGTTGACATGAACAAGCTGCCATTATTAGCTCAAAATCAAGCGCAACATCCATAGCATATTTGCATCACAGCCAATTTTGTCACTTTTTTCTTCAAAAAAGTTGCAACTTCTAAATGAAGTCAAGGATGCATGGGTTTATACTGACCTGTAATGAATATTTTAATGTACTCCCTGGACTTGCTAAAGCTGCAAGTATAGCTGTTGTGGTTGTGCCAATGTTAGCTCCTAAGGTTAGAGGATAAGAACGCTCAATGCTTATAACACCAATGCCTAGGAAAAAAGAAACAGGATTGAGAGGTTTCAGAATGGTGGAGAAGATAAACATGGAGATAAAGAGCACAGTTTTGATAACTTACCGACAAGGGGTGTAATAGCAGATGTGAAAACAGAACTACTTTGGACAACAAAGGTCATACCAGCCCCTGCAAGCATAGCCAGGTATCCAGCTAGCCAAGTAAAAGGAAATGGGAAATCTAAAAAACATAGAGGGAGAACATTGTCTTTAGGATAACACAGTAACATAGCAGTGAAAAGACTATTAAGCATTTCAAATGTAAATATATTATTTGCATATTGTCTTTTACATGACAATTTTGGGTCAGAGATGGTTCTACTACTCTAATTTACCCACACCCCCTCTCCAGCCTTCCACGACCAGACATACTTTGAGGTGAATACCAGACTAGGGAGACATTTGTGCTGACCAAGGGTAGCATTTATGTTGCACTACAATTAGGTACCAGAAATGTTTCCACAGAGCTCAACACAACACCTTCTAAGCGTGTAGAGTGTCTTGGTTTCAGCAACCAGGCACCTGCTACATGGATCGGATCTTCAGAAAGCTCTGAAGATCCTTCTGAGAAAATCAGGTTGTTCTAACTAGTTTCAAGTCAGTTACCTCCTAAAAAAATCACTTGTTAACATTCACAAAGAAAAGCTAATCAGATTGACTAGAGAAATGAGGCAGAATGGTCCCCTGTGTTCTTCAGATTTATGAGCAAGCCAAGAAGTCAGGAACTACTCAGTTGGGAAGACACAGAGGAAGACAGCGTAGATCACAAATGAACAGGAACTGGCAGCTGGTTGTGATTCAGGCAGTGTTCTTTGCCCAGCAGAAGAGACGACAGCATGGGGATCGCTTTGTTGCCTTCCCCATTTCCGTGAACCATCTCTTCAACCACAACCAGAGACGTGCCAGGAGTGCTTTTCTCTGCTACAGGTTCTAACCTCTCCATTCAAGGGAGAATGAAGAAAAAGCAGCCAAGTGAAAAAATAACCACATTTGCACTCAATGGATCCAGGCTGAAAAAAAAACACCTGAAGAACACAAGGAAAGACAGCAAGTACCACTAGTCAGGGCTGCCTTATCCTACTGAAGAGAGGGTTAAGGAGTGGAACAGGTCAAGCAAATGGAATTAGATCATTAATCACTACAAACTTTTTTTCAACTTACTTTAGAAGAAACATGCAGGCTCTGTGCCAAAGCAGGCTATCACAATCCCAGCACTTCAGCGCTATCTTTTGAGGATGGGAACATTACATTTCTAACAGCTAATGATTATACATCAAGAAACAGAGCCTGGACTTTGGTCTCTGTTGCCGTTAATCTGCTGCAGTTTACAAGAAAGCTGTTCGCTAATAGATTGTTAAAAGAAAGACAATAACATGCTGAGGAGAAAAAATGTTGGAGGGTGCATGATTTTGATTCAATATTGTTTTCTTTAAACTATTCTATAATATTTGCCAGAACAGGAGATTTCAATAAATGTGCTCAGTGTCCTTGTCATTCCTGAAAACAATCTTCAGGAAAAGCAGATAATTACCAGTGTTGATTGTCTTCTTGATAACACTCGCCACTTGTCCTTTAAGCACAGAGTTTAACAGCTTAACGATCATCACCAAACAGGAACACAGAACAAGCAGGGACAAAGCCAGAAGGATGAGACCGATGGCAAGATCAGGCAGGTCCGCATCTGCAAAGAGATGCCGGCCTGAAAAAGAAAAGCAAAATGAATTGGCCTAGCCACATTTTTGCTTCTGATCCCAAGCCCCTCTCTGGTTTTCGTACATGCCACTAAGAAAATGGGACCAAAGCACACACAGCTTGAGGGGGCGATGCAAAGAGTGAAAATGTACCTCCCTTGCTCCACAAAAGCCATGTCTGAGGGGGGCAAGAGGACCTGTGGTATGGGCACACTTGTAAAATACACAGCAGGCACCCCTGCAGAGCAGGCAGGAGCTGGGTGACCATGTGCAAGAGAGGAATACAACGGCGTGAGGAAATTTTGGTGTGCTGTGAGCCGGATGGTGGGTCAGCTCTTCCCAGAGGTGGCTGTGTGCCTGAGAAGGGCTGCTGAAAGTCACGAGGGGCGTGCAGAGGGATGGCGATATCCAAGCAACCATTACAGCAAAGTAACTGTAGCTCCAAGTCACCTGAATAGCAAGGGTGACATGATACTGAAGACATCAATTACTGATATCAGGAAGCATGGAAAGAGATCCATCTGCAGCCCCATACCATGATGATGCTGGTAACTCCAGCTGTGTAGCTATAACAGAGTACGGGCTGCTCTGACTGCACCTACACCAGTACCTTGTGTCCATACACAGGCAAGTGCCTCTTGATACACCTCTGAAGTGGTCCATTAATTGCATTAGAAAACTATATGCATTTTTAAAGATATTACTGAAGGAGAAATAGTTCTACTACTTACATTTACTGATATATTCTGTTTCAGTTACATTCTTGAGGGTCCATGTCGTGTTTCCTTCAGTCCAGCAAAGATCAGGAGATGTGCAGTTTTCTGAAGGTGGAATTGTGACATTCTGCAGTGTCTAAAGATCGCCAGACAAAGCAGATAGTTCAGTCACCTACAGCCCTTCATTAAGATCTCATGCAAAGTTCTAGGTTTTTACTACAACCAAGCATTCATCAGTTAAAGGCAGATTTGTAAGCTGGAGTGTAAGCTGGCACCACATTAATGACAAAGCAAAATTTTTGCATTCTTGAAATAAACACTTGTGCTGTTACTCAAGTCAATCAATACAACATTTAAAGATCAAAGCATCCCTCAAACTTTCTACATTGTAATAACCATAGCACCAAGTCATCAGTAGCTAAGAACCTTAACTGCTGATGTCTGTTCATGTCTGGCTGCACCTGGGGGACAGCAACATTCCTTTTCCAGCCAGTACCACAGCTTCCTTGGGTCAAAGAAGGACCTCTTTGCTGCCATCTTAACTGCAGTTAATGGTCTGGTGAGTACTGCACAGGACTTTGATTCAGAATACTACAGTACTAGTGCAGCCTCTGTTGCTGAATGAGCACAAGCTGCTCATGCTACCTTTCTGTGCCTGTTTTCCTGACTGTAGAAATAGAAATGCTGCTACAGCTTTCCTTTTTAAAGCTCAAAAGCTAAGAGCTAATTTCTAGCACTATGATTAGCATTAGCACTACCGAGCTGAACCTGAATTTCCATTTCTACTGCAATAAACCCTTCCTTATAGGAGCTCCTAGCCCAGACGTATTGCATTCTGACGCTAGGTCCATAAGTCCTTACGCAGATTAAGGAAGAGTTTGCTGACTGAACTGTACTCCCACAAGAGCAGCTAACAGCCAAATGGACTCTGAACCGCACTGCTGAACGGGAGGTATCATTAAGATGTGTTTGAGTGATTCTCTTTTGCAGGAACAAGGAAAGAGAAATTATATTTTCTTGCTGAGCACTGCCTGCGGACACCCGCATTCACATTCCCCCTCCAGCTGATGCAGATGGGCAAAGCCAGGGGTGGATCCAGTGCCCCCACATCTTCAGGGGGTACCTGGTCTCCAGCTTCCCCAACACGTCAGTCTTTACAAACGCAACACAATGTTGTTTCTCGCCTTCCTGAATTTTTTTTCAGACATATGAATTTCAAAGCAGCTGCATTAGATCAAAATGTTTATCCTTATGTTTTGCTTTAAACATATGGGGTCTGTGTGTATTTATTCCTGCCATAAGTCTGTTTAATCATTTTTGCCAGAAATTAGTTTAACCCACTAGGAATGTAAATCATTTAAATGATCTTCCTCTTACCCCACCAAGTTCAAGTCAAGCTTGTAGGGGTTTCATGTGCTTTTTTAATTTGACTATATGCTTGGGCAGTAGTACATAGCCAAAATATAGATAAACACAGGAAAAAAAAGTGTATATGGAAATGTAACACTCAGCCTACACTGCCCGTGTAATTGTTTGTCTTCTAAGAGTGGGGAGACTGTAGGACTCAGGGGCTCAGACCTCACTGAGAGTTAGGCTGTGCCTGCCCGGGCAGTGCAGGATGAGGGCCCGAAAGCAGTACAGCTGCCCGAGCATCATGCCTCCCCTGAGATGAAATACCCGGCTCCTCAGCAGCGTAACCTGAGCAGAGTCTCACATTAGCACAGCTCTGCTGCTGGCCCTATCTCCCTAGCTAGCATTTCACTGGCCATCCAGACCGTCATTCAATAGGAGCTGGGCTCCTCTAAAACCCCAAGATCTTAATTTTAATCTCTACCATGTGTCCTTAATTATCTTCTGCCTCAGGACTTCAGGAATTACTTTTCTATACATACCAACAAGTAAAATAGTCTAATTAGAGATCCAAGGGATATTTAATGCTCTAATTGTTAGTTAGCTGAACAATGCAAACCAAACATTCAGCTCCACAGTTTACTAAAATACTCATTGGTGCCAATCTGGGCAATAGATTTCTTCAAGCTGTAGTGTTGTTTCTTGGGTGAAGAACGGCGGGACGTAGCCCCAAGGAGGCTTTCTCCATGGGCAGTTTTCCAAGCAAGCTGCAAATAACCAGCTGACACCAGATCACCCTAACACACGTAAGACTAAAGCTGGTTAGACCAATGGATAAATGGTGGGCAAAAAGATATTTTCTTTGGCCTATATTTCAGATTTTTTCCACTTTCAGGGAGTCAGTAGGACTATTGGAGTTTAAAGGCATTTGGATGTGAAAGGAGTAAAAGGCTTGGCTCCAAACTACCAGTGCTGATAAGCAAGGGCCTGCATGGTACGGAAAGCAACCAGGTCAAACTCACCACTGGTACGACATCCTTGGTTTAAGTGGAGCAAAACCTACATTAAATTTTTTTTCTACTGCATTTAAAAATCTAATTTCACAATCCTATGATAAGGAGTGTCAGCTACAGATCAGTAATACATTTCCTGAGGAACCTGACAATGAATTTAGCATGATACTCACCACGTTGCTTTCAGTTACACACCAAATCTTTACCAGGCTTTTGTTTTTTGCTGATTCATCATTCGTAGCAATTGCATTTATTACTGATTTATCAAGCTTTAAAAAAAAAAAAAAAAAAAAAGAAAAGAAAAGAAAAGAAAAAAAAAGAAAAGAAAAAAGAAAAGAAAAGAAAAGAAAAAGCATTATTCCAACTTGCATCACACACTTCTGTTCAGCTCTAATCAAATAACTCCCTTTGGAATCTCAGCCACCTAAAGCCTGCATGACCATCTCTAATGCTGGAGCTGCTGCCATACCTCCCAGGTAGGAGGGGATTTACTCCCACAAAAAGGTACAACTCTACGCACACAAACACTGTGTCTCATTCTTCTCTAATCATCCAACACTTCATCCCACCCTTTCTGTTTAAATAACTACACTGACACAACTGCCTAAATGCATTTACTGTCATTTTAGGAGCTGTGTGCATCTCCCCTAGCCTCCAGCTGTCCCTCTAGATGTGTGTGAGTTTCCCATGATTTCAGTGTCATCTCTTCAGGTCCTATGCAGATCTTCTGGATGTGCTAGGTTGTCTCAGCTAGTACTATCTGCCAATGTCTAGGCAACAGGCTGTCATCCCATCCATTTCATGTGGCTGTATTTGTCCTCACCTGCCTCCCCAGTCCTCCAAGCTAGGTCTATCATCATTAAAAGGGAATGTGGGGGAAATACAGAAACAGGAAGTATAGAGCTGGGGCTTCATGAAATGTGAATATAAAGAAGAATCCATCTGCTAATGAGCTTTACCCCGAGGACACAGAGAAGTGAGTGGAAGGCCCTTCCCCCCAAATCAGAACATTTTGGTTAGCTATGACTGAACCAAGTAGCTTCCTTGAAGAGAGAAAGAGCTTACCTCAATGATGAGCTTTGTAAAGGGGTCGGTGATAACTTTTAGTAGCTCAGGGGCATCCTCACCACTTTCAAGATGAAAGGACTCAACTATAGCATTGGTGAGATGGTAAAGATAGCCAGAAATAACTTCAATGGGCAACAGCGCAAACACAGCAAGCCAGTTGAAGAAATCATGGATTGTTGCCCCAGCAAAGGCCCTGCAAGAAGAAATTTTTAAAAAGAGCTGCTTTTAATTAAACAACATGTGCACAACATCAATTAAATATGAAATCATAGAGGTGGGGATGAAGTCCATTCCAAGATGGCAATCATTTCATTGCTGGGGTCAGAGGAGACAACTACTTTGCTATAGAGCGCTAAGTTGTCTCCACACTGTTGACTGAGTGAAAGAGCCAGCTAGGTGAGTGAAACAAAACAAACTAGAAAAGGCAAAATTGATCCTTAACACGAGGCTGTCTGAAGAAAGAAGTGGCTGTACAGCCTACATTTGTTTTGCCTCTCACCCATTTTTGGTACATTTTTAATCCTCAGCCAGGCATTGCCTCTGGGACCTGTTCTCCCTGACTCATGGGAGAAGATGGCTCTTTGCAGTCCTCTCACATGTTCTTGCAAACCATTGGTGTACAGCTGCCTTCCAGCCTCTCCTCCACAGCCTGAGGTGCCACAGGTCTT